TACTGAAAATTTATGAAAGAATAATTTAAAATATTTAAAAAGACAAAAATCCAGAAAGACATACATACATACACCCACACGTGTGTGTGTTTGTTTTGTATTGTTTGAAGGAGTTCAAAAATTGCGAGTGAGATTTATATGAAAAGAAATTTAATTATATTTTTTTAAGATACCATTAATTTTCTTGAAAAATGACTTAAATTTAAAATATTTTATGTTCTTATTGCTAATATAACAAATTTAATCAATTTATTGGTATGAAATAATAGATTTATTGTAGAAAATATGGACCATTGGACTTGTTTTATCCAATGCGAAACTGAATTGTACAGGAAACGAACTTCATGAAATTGGACCTTACCATAAAAATATTTCTATTAATTATGCTAACCGCAGCAAAAGATTCAGTATATGTTTTGAAATTAGATATGATTGTAAAAAGAAAAGATCAATCAAAGATACTTTATCTTCAGACGCATTAAATTTGGGCTTTGAACTGGGATTAGAGGTTGGCTCAAGAATAAATTTTCTTGATTGGTTCTTCACTAAACTCATGTAGTAAATTTCATGCAGTAAACCCATGTAGTAAAATTCTGGAATTTTTTTTTACTACTTCTGGCTGAGGGCCTTCAATCACTGGAGAGACTTGTCATTCAGGATCTACCTTTCAGTGTAGAAATCACTAATATATATATTTTTTTCTTAATCTAATTATTGCATTATGTTCTACTAATTAAGCTTCAATCGAGATCTGTACCTGTAATCTTGAATGAATCTTTCATTTAGCTTTCGGTACTGTTTGATTCACATTGAATCGTTTGAATCGCATTCTATGATTGGAATGGAAATTTCCTAAAAATACGTGTTTGATTTCTCAATCCACTTCCATCAAGTAAAGTGGTTTGATTTTTGGCTCAGAAACTGCTTCTGGAAATACTTCCTGCAATACAATCTGCAGCACTTCAACGTGATTTATTCCTTTTCACGATTACATTTTCCAATACATCGCGAATTTTTGTATAAATTTAAATAAAATATGATAATCCAACTATATATAATGAGAAATTCTTTGAAAAATTTCTTATTGCAATGTATGTGTGGGCTGCAACACTTTTCTGATTTCGTACCGGCCATTTACTTTCATTCTTCTTAATCCAAGTTCAAACCACCATCTAATTGCCAGACACTTTTTATCTGAGCAGCCGCTGGAAGAAAGGAATTCTGACATTATCAAAAAAAAATCTTATATCAATGAGATTAATTCAATCAAATGTAGTTAATTTCGAAATCGCTCCCACCGATGCGTCAAAACTGTCCGCACAGGAGTAGAGCTATTTTCTTTGATCACCGATCCAAGGGGTAAATACAGTTTACAGTCAATATTTTCGCATTTTGTTTTACATAGTTTGCCAAATTTTAAAAACATAGTTCTTAAACGTTTTCGAACGAAGTTTCTGAGTTCCTCTTACAAGCCGTTTCTGAGTTAACATTTCTTTTTAGGTAATGGCAAGCAATATTCATCCCCACATCATAGAACTCCTTCATTATTCAGGTAATTCAGAAAATGTATTTTTCTCAGCAGCTGGATCAGTAATCCCGGTGATATCTAAATTCCGTAGATTTATTATTACCATTGTAGAATTACCATCGCAGTCATTGAATTTGATTTATCCTGCAAAATCTAGTAACCGCGGTAGCGTAGTGGTCATAGTCGCGGCCGGCGTTTTTCGTCGAGTGGTAGGATCGAGTCTTGATGAAACTAAAATCCTGCCGTGTAGCCGAGGCTTATGCACGTAAAATCTGTCGAGGCTCTAAGTCCTCCCGTTGGCGTGGCGTGGAAGTTTTGAGAAGAGGGGCCGGTTCAGGTGTCGTACTCGTCACTTGAATGAGGTTCAAAATACGGTATCCAATAGCTTCGTGTTTCTTTGAGTGCTACGTTAATAAAACCAACAAACCTGCAAAGTCTATTAGAAATGCAATCCGCCGCCTATGATCAATATATTTCGACTCGTAATATAGTATTCTAATAATATCACTCTCCTGCAAAGAAGAGGCTGTCTAGCGCAATTGATTAATATCTTTTACAATATTTAATAAGAGCGAACGTCTATCACATTATTTCTCTGACATCAGCGTGCTTCAGTATGATTTCTTTGAAACTGAAAACAACTTCGATGGCTTCAAGAAATGGCATTACATTCACAAATGTCTACTTCGATAGGTAATTTATAAAGATGTAATAATCTACCTAGTTTTGTATCGCGTAACAGGAAAGAGCGTCCTGCTGGAGCAACTAGAATTTTTTAAAATTGTATTTCGGGCGCTTTATCGTGAGTTGTTGACCTGCTGGAAGAGATTTTGTCTTTGACACCCTGGCATTGCGACATATATAGGCTGTCATAAAGAACAGGCTTATAGTATTTTCTTCTTGTTTGGTCTAAGCAAAACCGAGATTACCGTCATTTGGCGCAACATGAAGAATTTGAGAACTGATCCAAGTGATTTTTGGTGCGACCTAGAGCCATTGTTTTCCCATAGGATCATATCTTGTTTTGTACTGTACACCGTTTCTCATTTTATAGCTTCGATATTCATTATCTTTCTTAAAGATTTTAATTATAAATTTCAACTGGTTATATTTCAAATGCTTTTTTTCTATAATTTGTGGTGGAGAGAGGTTTTCTTGACGGGGGCAACGGATTGTTAGCTGCCGCTCTTATAGCGGATGGTTATGTCAAACCCTTACAACCTGAGAACTTTTGTGGCATTTCTTCAAAATGGACCCTTTACATTTTCGAGCTAACAAAAAGTGTGGGGATTTGTTACCACTCTAAGTTATTTTTGAAATATACATAAGGTTTTAATTAAATTTATTACTACCATTTTATTTAGGATGTGTGTGATTCCTTCGGCTGCTGCTGAATGCATAGGCTATTGGTATTTCTCTGACATCCTAGTCTTCTGTATGCCAGTATAAGTGGCACTTTAATTTATTATTCCAAATTTCTCTTGTATTCCTGGAGATAAAGATCTATTACTGCATCTAACTGTTTAATATTCTGGGCTATTGTTCACTCCAAACTCCGGCCAACACAGAAAGTGGTCTTCTCTTACGGCTGTAAGGGGTTTTTCAAATATAAAAGCCTAAATTTACTGATCACAGTAACTTCCTTTATGTTTCGGAGTAATTTCTTTCCGCTGCTGCTGGATGCATAGATTATTGGCCTTTCTGAGACATACTGGACTTGAGCCAGAATGTTCTGCATTTCTCCCATAATTCTGGAGATAAAATCTATTTATCACCTGTTTAATGTACTACACAACTGTTCACTCCGAACTCTTTTCTGTTTATATATATTGTATTTTCGTTCTTTCACCAGAAACATTTATTGCCTAACTAAAGGTTGTACACTTATGGCTTTTCATTATCTGCAAATAGATATCTTTCAATATCGATCGACAAGATGACACAATACTTTTTCGACATCTTCAACTGCACCTAAAATTTTCCCGGGTTCATTTTAAGATCGATGTGATTAATTCAATCAATCAGAACATTCAAACTGTGATGGCGAAATCGCTCCCCGCTATGCATCAAAAACGAGTCTCACAGAAGTAGAAATATTTTCTTTGATTACCGATCTGTGGGGTAGATAACTTTTTCAATTGTTGCTAATATCTTCATTTTATTTTTCCTAGTCTGTTTATTTTAAAAATCGCAGCTTCTAAGCGCTTTGCGAACGAAGTTGGTTTTCCAAACCATTTCAGGGATAAAACTTTCTTTGTTGTAATGACAGGCAATCTACAACGTCACTTCATAGAACCTTTTTTTATTTAGACGATTCAAAAAATGCATTTTTCTCTGCAGCTGGATCATCAATCGACTTGTCATCAGTCATTACATGGATTTTATGCTGCAAAGTCTACCCGAAATTAATTCAATCAGCCATAATCATTAAATGTAGATTTTCAAATAAGTATTGTATATAAGTAATCCTTTCATTCTCCTGTGAAGATTATAAGGTCCAGCACGAGTTATTAATATCTTTTACAGTGCTTGATAAGTACGAACATCTTCTATCACTTATTATTTCTCTGAGAGCCCCTTGATTCAGTATGGTTT